CTTTGCAGGTCGACCTTATAAAATTGTATTAATCAGGCAGTCCTCCGAGTAATACTTGAAACGCGTGGCGGCTGTGTATTTATAGTTTTACACAAACATTAAAGATATCTTCCGTCAGATCAGTAGTTTTCATAATGAAAAGCGCTTTACTTACTTTCCACTTTTCTTAAATTTTGTTTGATAAACCAGCATTGCTTCCTGATAAGAGCAAACATATTAAATAAAGTATTCTCGGTATTGATCTAGGCGTTCATGCGTGCATGCATGGCCAAGGAAAATTGGGATTCATGTATACTTCTATACTAAAATTATGAAGAGGTAAGTAAGTTTGTATGTAGGGGGTAATCTTTGGAACCGCTGGTCGGATTGCCGAAATTCTTTCACTGATACATAGCTACAATGTTCCTCATAGCCTATACCAAATGCTATAAAACATCACGCTACGATTAAATAGAGCCGAGCAGCGGGTGAACCGCGCGAGAGTAGCTAGTTTATTTATATGAATAGATTAAGAGTTAATTGTTTTTTTATTATTTTTTTATTTTTTTTTATGTAATAAGTCGGCAAACGTGCAGACGGATTACCTGATGGTAAGCAATCAACGCCGCCCATGGACACCCGCAACGGAGGAGTTACGAGTGCGTTGCCGACCTTTTAGGGATTAGGGATTTGGAGATTTAGGGATTGGGGAAGGGTCCGGGAAGGGGAAGGATTGGGCCTCCGGTAACGACACTCACACGGCGAAACACAACGCTGTGGTTGTTTCACGCCGGTTTTCTGTGAGGCCGTGGTATCACTCCGGTCGAGCCGACCCATTCGTGCCGAAGCATGGCTCTCCCACACTTGAATTGTTACAGTGTAATAATACATTTTACAATGAGCTGGCAAATCCCCACTACGTAAAATAAATAAAATAGTGGATAAATACTAAAGGAACATTTGTAAGTAAAATACCTGAGTAACATTTTATGTAAGAAGTTGTTATCGAACGTTCCATTTCCTACGGTCTAACAATGGCTCTATACCATTGGCGGGAAAGCACTAAGCTGAAATCGATTATTAGTTACGCGATGATGTCACTATTTTATTATTTCAATCAGTATTTCTTCTTCTGTGTGGGATTGAGAAATTGAATAAGGTTTTAATACTTTTTGCCAACTTACTACTTTGGAGGAATTTGATGATAATTAACTGAAAGTACATATCTTAACCTAATCAATAGGTACTAGGCTCCAATCCACCAATGATTTCGAAATCGAAACAAAACACTTTGCCAGATACGGAAATAAATCCCGACATTACTAAATCGAATCAAACCACCAGCAGATGAAACACCGAGTAGATTTTCGATCAAATAAAAATAAAATGATTTCATAAGTTCACAACTTATGTAGTATGTACTTAGGGACATTTAATTATTGCTATAACTATTCCTAAGTAACGCTTTTGTTCCGAAAACTATACATGAGGACTGAGCTTAGTAACCCTAAAACGACTCTGAGTGCGACGACGGTCAAAGGTCTAATGGACCTTTGACCGTCGGCGGTTAATAGGCGGCGAGCATGTTCCCTTTCCATTGGAGATACTTTATAGGTTTTCATAGACGAAAACCCCAAAGACCCCAAACAAACCTTTGTTCTACAGTATCAGAATAAAATTGGATACATTGTTCAGAACAGTAGACAAACTTGCAGTAGGTACTACTACGAAATTTAAGTATCTTAAAATATTTGAGACAGATAATTTTATTGCGATATCTTTATAAACGTAGCTTACACTAGAACAGAAAAATTTGGGGATTGTTTCTTGACACAAAGAATTGTTTCGTGCGGGAATAAAACCTGCGATATGACACGCAGCAGCCGGTTGTACAGCCACCGCGCTAACCGAAGATGTCAGAAGGATGACAGTTCCAAATTATAAACCGAGAGGTCTTAAATTGCTTTTTGTTTTTATTTCATGACGAAGTCTTGGAGACAAGATTGACGTGTGTCATCCTACTTCGAAATGTTAAGATCATCCGATTTATTCTTGTTTTATTTTTATATTTGGTTTGCGTGACATGTTAATTAGTAGGTAAACATTCCTACCTATAAGATTTGTAGTTTAAATAAAGAATTTATTTTTGGTAGCAACATTGATGGATAAAATAAAAATATTACTAAATCGCAATTTGTATTTTTAAATTATTTTATTATTTATTTACATTAATACGGGGCTATGTGGCATGATGCAAATAAATAAAAAAATAACTTGAAGCTTTTTTGACCAGAGTAGGTATTTTACTATTATTTTTTTACTTTGTTCCTAGGGTTACCTTTGGTCTAAATGTATATCGGTTTAGCAGCAATGACATCTAGGCTACGACTAGAAATTGTAAAATATTATATATATTTTACCGTGCTCGAACCACTCGAACCTTTGTGTGGATAGCTAGTACCAACCTAGTTAATATAAGCATTACAGAAATAGTTGGCTAAAACCATCAGACGCACATTTCCTATTTTAACCCAGTTTCATACATTTGGTAAGATCGAACCGAGATTTATATGCCATCACCTGTCTGAAAGCTTGAGCCCATATTAGAAAAATGTTAATCAAACTATCAATCTATACTTAAACTTTTCTTTCATTTATTTGTATACGTGTGAGTGAGACAGATATACTCCAGTTTCGGAATAAAAGCGGGATCGTTCGTGCTGCCAGTTTTCTAAACAATTCTCTTTAAACAGGTGCACGTGTGCTTGCATAAGTTATTTTACTAAGTATTGAACATTCTATCCACGTATGCGACGTGGTTGTTTACACGGCGCCTCCTATGTGCCACATATCTATACTTTTTGTCATGAACCTACATAACAATCTCTAATTGCTTCCCATTTAGAGCCTAATATAGTTTTTAATTACTTTTTTATCAACATCTTCAGTGATTTTAGGTACCTACTTGAATTGTTAAGGCCTTGATTGTTTTTAAACTTAGCTATTTTGATTGTTAATTAGTTAGATCATTATGAGTGATATATTCTTTTGTCGAAGATAACATTACATAAATGTACCCTTTTCCTTGAAGCTACGCATGGGCTTTTTCCTTTTTTTCCTCGGCTTTACACATGATATAATACATAGTAGGTATATCATAATTTGTACATACATAGACCATGACTCCAAGTACGCAGCCGATATTAATAAAAACCGACCTTAATCCAAAATATTTTCATAAAGATATATTTTTTATAAAGCAGAGAGACATAAAGCAAGCAGTAATGTACTAAAACCAAAAATCTTTGGTTTTAGTACATTACTGCTTGCTTGTCAAGTGATGTAAGAGACATTGGCATTTTACAATATAGGTAATAGCAATACATCGTAATTTTTTAAAGAATGAGAAATTCAAATTACTTTAAGGTTATTTCGATTAGTAAAGCATGTTCGGCCATTCCGCACGAAATTAATGTTCATATTGACCTCCCCATGGCTTTTGTTTTGTTCTTTTAATATTTGGCGAAATATTTGGTAATATCGGCTGTATAAATTGATCAGAGTAAAATGTTTCGAAGATATTATTTCTTATTTTAAATATAGAACTAATTACCAAGATTAAATTCGATTTCTTGTCAAGATTGTAATGCAGTCAAAGTTTGATTGTGTTTTCTAATTAAAGTTATCATTGTCTAAACCACTTCTAAGGCATAACATTATCTAGACCTGGCTAATGTACGTTAATATCATAAAGTATTTAAGAGTTTGTTTGAACGTGCTAAACGCCGGAATTGCTAGTTCGAATTGAACACTTATTCTTGTGTTGGATAGTCCATTTATCGTTAAAAGCTGTAAAACAACATAATAATAAACATTTAAAACAAGACACTACAAACAGAAAACGCCGAGCAGCGGGTAAAACCGGGAGTAACTATTGTTTTATATACACGAAATGTCACACACCAATTCAGTCTTATTCCAATTTAAATCACGTCAAACAAGTCCTATGTACAGTCTGCATCAAAAGTTTATGACCACATTTAGATCTTCAACCACTACTCTACATTCAATACATTCTTCGTATATCTTTTCATATTATAAAGATCAGCATTTTTCACAAAATGATTTTCAACATATAATCACGCGGGTAATAACGCTAAAAATAATTATCTAAATACCTCGGTAGGCTTGTCGTTTCGACCTGGTTGCACAGGTCGTGGTCGCAAGCAGACTCTGGTTTGGATGGACAAACCACCCGTTTTCATTGCTTGGTTTTTTCAAAATAAATATGCTGTTAATTTTGTACTTTAATGATGTTCATTTAATAGTGGCGCCTTATCTGCTGAGCAGGCTGTGTTATACGGTTGATATTATACCTATACATTGATTTTATAAATTTGAATTTGGTCATCGACTTTTGACGCTGACTGTACAACGGAGTGGCGTGAAGTAGCCATTGTAGCCAGCAATGAATATGAAATGAGAATGTGTAAACACGTGGTACATAATAAACATTCCCGTGATATATTTATACCCATTTCATTGGTCTTGGGAATCGAGGAAATTATTAGAATAATAAATAGACAAATGTATGTGTGAATATGGCAAGTGTAAGGCAACTTGATAATGAACTTTAATGTCGTATAACAAAGGTCAATTTAAAAATTGTTTCAAGAAGAAGCGACAAAAGGCCTGCTATGCCCTTGTAACTACTATAGTGGTGTGGATATATGTCTAGAGAATGGATACCTCATTCACTTACCACCAGAAGATTGGCCAACTCGTTTACCGTCGTATACCATAAAAAATGTTTGAGATAATCCTGTCCTTAGAAATTACACGTCAAAATTGAAATTTTCGGTAGTCACTGCCGTAGTGCCTTATTTAACTTATTTGGATAGGAAACTTTGTATCTTCGTGAGATAGTTATTAAAGTATTCATGTCATGGCATCCATTTTAATTTTGTAGTATCATATGGATGGCATCTGAATACAAATAGCATGAATAAAACGATTTTTAAAAAAAATACGGTTATTATATACATATTATTACATATACACATTATTATTTATTATACGTAAATTTCATAACCATGCAAGTATAACAGAAAAATAATTTTAGGAAGGTACATAAAATAAAATGATATTTTCTTCTCAAGCACTGTTTATTTGTATTATTTTTTATATATGTACATCAAAATTTTCAATCTCGCATCGCTATGCAGTTTTTTGAAAAAACACAACTATAAATAACTTATACTATACTACAACGAAAACAGTAAAATGATCGTAAAATTTCTGCAGACCATTCAGATGTTCTCTCAACGGGTTTTTCTATATATACATACTACCCGTTTAGATATACTTATTAATATGTTATTTCACATTACTGAGAAGTTACGAAATGTTGGGCAAAAAATCAAGACAGGAGAAGGAAAAGAACAATAACAATGATCTAGTTACCAACCAAGATTTAACAGCATAAAGTAGCTTTTTAGTATAGCTATATATACAGTCTCTCGGGGAAAATAGCCGAAGGTACAGAGGCCATTGTTCGACCGGGGTTGCGGGGCCAGTGAAATAAGTTACCGCGGCCTAGGCCCGAAGCAGGAGAAGGAACGGGGGTTAGTCAGTAAGAGTCTGACAATCTCTCTCGCCTAACCCTGGGCGGGAGAAGTCATTTAAAAATGGGCACAGGAGTTCACTGTCAGTAATACTTAAACGCATTCAAGGGTCAGTAAGCCTACATACCGTCGTACGCGCTTTCTATCTCTCCTATATAGTGACTCGGCTTTAGGCGGAAACATACTTATATGTCGTGTCATGTTGTTAATGGATTACACCGACGCCTTATGGCGCATCATGTTACGCCATAATACATAAGTATTCTATTCGCCTTTTCATCCTATATGAGAAGGCGATCAGTGCGGGAGATCCAAGCTTCGGCACGAATGGGCCGGCACGACCGGAGTGATACCACGGCCTCACAGAATACCGGCGTGAAACAACCACAGCGTTGTGCTTCGCCGTGTGAGTGAGGTTACCGGAGGCCCAATCCTTCCCCTGCCCCTATCCCTTCCTGATCCTTATATCCGCAACCCCTATCCCCGAAAGGCCGGCAACGCACTCGTAACTCCTTTGGTGTTGCGAGTGTCCATGGGCGGCGTCGATTGCTTACCATCAGGTAATACGTCTGCTCGTTTGCCGACTTACACCATAAAAAAGGCAAATAGAGAAGGCGAGCTTGTATACTGATTAAGTTCCTGACTGCCGACTGAAAATTATTGAAAATAGTGACGTATGATTGTAGTATAAACATGTTTATACCATATACTTAGAAGTTTTCAAAACCCAATAATACTTTACCGTATCAGAGACTACATAGCCAGCTCACATATTGACGACAACTAGATAAAAAATGAACTATGCACCTGTATATATCTTCCACCTGTCGATCTTCATACAATAATTCACAAAAGTTGTTCTCGAGGCGCGTGCGCACAGGAATTATATTGTAATTAAATGTCAGCGCTGTAATTAACATTTATAATGCGGTGCAAAGACCAAAGGTGTTCTCTTGTATGTAAAGATGAAGGGTTATGGGGATTATAAACCTTGTTTATAGGCAATATTTTCTGTATAATCGCCTATGTGTTGAAATTAAACTTCGATGGTACACTATTACTATGTTACAGTACCGTTATTATTAAATGAAAGATATAAATGTGTGATTTTTCTTCGAAAACGGTGATCTATGTATATGTGGATATAAATAACTGTAATCAGAAGCTCCTCACACACAATGGGACATTGGTTGTGTTTAAGAGTCACCTTAAAGTTTTTTCATTGACGCACTTGCAGCGCCCGTCTCGACATCGACATTCCGTCGTGTGCCAAGACTCCCGGCGCTTCAGACATTTCCGTCACACTGTCCAGTTTTTCACCCTTCTACGAACAATTAATATTGATGACGGATCATACTCCAACCCGTCTTTAAGCTTTTTATAAACGTCCCTTGCAATTGTAAAATCAAAACAAAGGAACATCGTTCCAAATTGTTCTTGTAATCGTTCGATAAAGGTAATTTGTGCATTACAAAATTGGCTTGTTTTTAAGAGGTCTGTTTGTAACTAGACGTGGAACAATAAGAGGCGCGATGTGGGCGCCAAGACGGTAGCGTCACGGGTCGCCGCCTCCGGAAGGAACCGCAGCGTGGGAACACGCCACAACACTACGGTCTACGTACGCTCCCTTATTATTCACCTGCATAATGTTTTCATAATTAGAGCAAACCTATTATAGCTCTAATTCTGACGTGTTAAACAATTACATGTTATTACGCTTGATGCCATAATCGTGTGAAAGATTCAAAATAATTATCACGTTTTATTTTATTAATAACTGTATATGGAGCACGTATTGCTGTGTTGTCTGAAATTGTTTACATATTTCAGATTATCTCAGGTATTCAATATTCATTGTGTTGGCAAGGGACATAATAAAACATGACCAATGCGTAATTAATTGTTATTCATTTCATTTTTTCTTTTACATATCTTGTTCTCGTTTGACTTATAACAAGACCAGTCGTTGCAAATAAAGAAGCAACGAAATAAATGTAGGCAATGCCTAAGTATTGTATAATTAAACCTCCAATGATTGGTGTGATGATGGAAGCTAAAGAACTTGCACTGTACAAAGCCCCTATTAAAGTACCTCGATTATTTGGTGCACTCCTACTCATAACCACTGCCAAAGTTACTATTCTTGCTAAAGCGAACGACACAGCCTTAGGGACTAACAATAAAACGTATAAAGGAAAACTAGAAACCATTCCTAAACAAACTAAAGTCAATACGATACCAAGAAAAGTATTGAAAATACGTTGGCTATAATCTATATCATTAATATACAGTTTATTAATAAAAGCTACTGAGTTATTCACAATGGATGAGATTATGGCTTCAAAAAGTAAGATGCATACGATTGAAACATTCGATAAATCGTATTCAGTTCTCAGATATATACGGAAATTATTATAATAGAGTCCCGTAGAGATAGACATGAGAAGTTTGAATAACAGTATGTCCCATAAATTAAGCCATTCTACGTTATACAGAGTGTTGTAAGTTTCTTTGATTGTTGCAACCACAGTTGCTATCGATGAAGTTTTTCTTACATACGTGTCTGGTTTATCTTCATCCTTTTCATCTTTTGTTTTAGTTTCTGGTAAAGAATTAATTAGAGCTGCAACAATAAGAACAAGATTGTTAAGGCGTTCCATTTTTAAATTTAAATTAAGTTTATTTTTCAAATGTGACGTGTGACGTCTGACGTTTCGCAGATGTTTCATCGTCCTAGTCGATTTTAATAGATATAACATATTTATACATATATAATGGTCATTAATTATGAATTTTAATTTTTACCTGCATTAATTCCAAAAAATATAGACAAAAATCCACACAGGAATGTAAAACCGCTTCTAGGGAATTTTTCAATGGTGTAGCCACCAATAAAAGAGCCTAGAGTTTGTCCAAATGATCCCAAAGATATTAATTTTCCATACAAAATAGATACTTGGTTCGGTTCATGCATGTACTCCGGTGCTAAGGCTCTTGTCAGTATCTGAGTCTGTTTGAAGATCCCTGAAATATTTAACGAGATAATTAATAAAGATTTAAGAGAAATGCGAATGACAAACAAGGGCTATCGTGATTCTTTAGTCCAGAGTTATTTCGATTATTTTACGTTTAAGTTTATTTCAGAAAGTTCATCTATTTTGGAATTAATGTTCTAGTGAACGTTCAAAAAAGACTTACCTAAAATTATACGTAAGCTTAATAAAATATATAGAGACGACGCTATTCCCAACCAGAAATAAGCACAGCAGCAAACAAATAAACATAATAATAATACTCTGTTTCGACTTGTGACGTCACTCAGACTTCCCTGTAAATTAAAACACGATTATTGTAGCTGGATCGATATATAACACATTACGGTTTTAATATGTTATTTTTTTATTTAATTATAAAATATTTTTCGAGTATAAAACACGCTTGGTAGGCTTGAAAACAGCAGTTATATAAGGCTCGAGTTTTTCAGACAGCTATGCTTTGCAATTAATAATGTATTGTCTAAAAAAAATTGAGTAATTAAAATCCAAACTAATATTATAAATGCGATAGTAACTCTGTCCGTCTGTCTTTTATTCACGCTTAAACGACTGAACAGATTTCTGTGAAAATTGGTACAGACATAGTTTGGAACTCGAGAAAGGACATAGGATAGTGTTTATACCAAAAATCTGCAGGAAGTCGCTATTCCAAGCGAACGGAGTCGCGGGCAAAAGCTAGTACTATATTATTTTTATTTTTTATAATTTAAAACTCTACTTACTATAATGGGTGATGATAAAATTTGACAAAGTGGATAAACAGCCCCCACTAGGCCTATCTGAACGTAACTGAAGCCTAGTTCCTTGGTATGATTATCCAGGTTTGGAACTATGAAGGAAACTGAAATGAAATCCTGGAATAAAATAAAATTTAAATTATTTTAAAATTAATTGTTTTCCCGACGTAGTAGTACTGTTGTTCTACATTCATTTTGGAGACTCAAAAGTAGTACTTGGCAAAGAGACACTGCTTCATATTGGATATCCCACCAAAGTTTTGTCACATGTACCTACGAAGCGTTTCGCCTTAAGTTTTTTAACCAAAACCGCTAAAGAGTGGAATTGCTTGAACAGGCTGTCCCATTGCAAATAGAAAGAGATAGCAAATGAAGAAAATTCCCACATGAATGAAGAAAATACAAAAAATCGCTCGAATAGAAATTAGTTATTTCAATCGTTAAGTTTATTATATTAGGTATTGGGTGATTCTTCACATCAATTAAAAAAAAATTAATAATGTCATTATCCTCAACCGAAAATTAACGAGTCTGCTGATTAAAACACAGATAATTATTTTATTAAATTAAATCTCACCACTGCTTACAAGCAACCGATTAAAAATATTGTATAAAATAAATTACTAAGATGCTTAAAAACCTGGGAGGATAATGACTTGTTAAATAAAAGTTAAGGTTTTTTGGAGAATCACCCTATTAACACAATAATAAGAACTCACCAAAAAGCAGACTAGAAGAAACGTTGCATACGGAGAAACCATTTTATTTTTGTATTTTTTTTCACACTATCTACCAGTATTTTTCCTTAGCAAACATATTTTGAAAAATCTTTATTTTTATTTTTTTTATCACTCACGAGACTTCATGCTTCAGTATTTGTTATATATTTCAGTGTCACTTGTCAAAAAATTATTACGATAATGCTCGTAATCTTGAAATTCATTGATTAGACGTTATCAACAGACATGAATTATTCAGGTGTATAACCAGACACTACTACAATGCGACGTCTTCATTCATATTTATTTAATTAAACTAGTTGATAGTACTCGTATAGTAGTAGAGTTAATTTTTCTTAATAGTGAGATAAATGCTATCTGAGGAATAAAATTGTTGCTGTCACTGTCTTGTACAAACATTCTGACGCGACAGCATCACAATATATTCCCCAGATAACTTTTATCTAACCATTGAAAAATCAGCCCTTACCTACATTAATAAATATCCACCAAAATAAGTATTCAAATCTGTAATTATTATTCAATTATTATAATTAAATAAGTATTCAAATATATAATATTAAACAAAAACGATTTTAACTTGGTATATAAGAAGCCAATGCATTCCGAGATATTTTCTTTCCAGCCAGCAAACGAGCTGGTGCCCATGGATGCTCGCAACACTAGAGGAATTGCAAATGCATTCCTGGCCTATTGGATAACTGTATTTAGGGTTGGAAAAGAAAGATTAGGGTTCCGGTAATGTTACTCACACGGCGAAACACGGCACTAAACTTTAAATTTTAAATGAATCAAAGTTTGATACACATTTAAATCAATGTACGGTTTCTCACAGATCCCACGGTATTGTTTTTGAATCGTTCTCATATTGCGGGTCATTTTTATTGCATTTCTAATAACTTGCTTCGAGTGCAACGGTCACGGTTTACTATTTAATTGTTTTTGTGTTGTCTTTGTGTGTAGTACACACAGACACAGGTGTCCAGGAGTTTTAAAATCGCTACTAACGATTTTAATGTTCAACCTCCTTGTAAAATGTAGATGCATTAATATTATTACCGTTGGTAGGAAGATTTGAGTTTCTATCTTGTCATGTTGCACCTTATTATGGAAATAGTTATAAGGATTTCAAAGGAAATGTCAAAAGAATTATTAGGGTTCATGCTGCAGTAATAAATCCGTAACGTATCTATTTTCAGGAGAAATCTTATGGGTTCCCATACACAAATTACTATTTTCTGTATACAAATTAAATACTACTATGATGTTATATCATAGTAGTATTTAATTTAATATTATTGATCACTCACGAGATCCAATTTCGTCATAATATTTAGTCGAAAGGCATCATCGTGGGTGTCCGGAAATGGGATCCGAATTCAGAACTCGGACTGTAATGTTCGACTTCCGATAATTTGCTCCATCTTCGAAATGAAACGGGAACATTTCTAATGGGGAAATAATTAGAAAATGATCCAAAACGTCAGTTGTTTCATTGTTGTCATTACGTTTGTGTAATGAATTGTGAGAAATATTTGTGTGCAAAGGAAAATCAACGCTTATCGTTATCAGTTTCATTGTTGTTAAGATATGATTTTCCTAGCACACGTTGCGATTGGAATGATAAGTTTACATGGTGCTATTAAATCATTTGTTTGGAAAGTACCTATTATAAATTTTAATCGGACACTGATTTATACGCTAAATTGCAAATTAACTTATAACAGATTCAATTAAGTTATTTTGCAAAGAATGTATTCAATCATGTTCTCGTCAGTGAAGGAAATATGTAGGTATATCTAATGAACTCGATTCTGTTTACACATGTTTACTCGAAGTAGCTCGATGGTACCATAATCTTCAAATTACTGCCAGGTATCATGATGACACAACTTGAAGATAATGTGTGTAATTAAAATTAAAAGATTTTATTACCTAGTAAATCGTGTTCAAAAGAATCGACATAACTGAAGGTATCGATTTTTGTTTTCGGTTGTTAATGTATAGTTACCGATTGATCTTATGACTGAACCCTGGTTAAAGCGCATTAATCGGTCTGTTGATCGTTTAGACACACTTGCACGTCAATAGAGTTTGTCGTACGACACTATGCTTCACTGATTAGGTACAATTCTTGACAACTATTGTTGTTTAGTTACAGTCATTTTTGTATTTAAAAGCACATAGTATATATATGTATCAGATACATAAAAACATAGCCATATGTAGCTTAGTGTGCTCTCTTTAAAATCCGATATATTATACAAAATGGTTTTATACGAATAAGACAGTCTAGCACAAATGACAGTACTTAAATTAATAAAGTACGTGAAAACAATAGTTTAATTTATATAATAATCTACAAAGCTGTAATTGTCAATTGCAATCTCTCCAAACCAGTTCAATGCTTTGTTATTGTTCTCAAATTCGTGACAAAGCATAGAGTAAGTGACAGTTGAAAATGACGTAATTGTGCGCCCGCGCAGCTACAGTACATAACATTGGCACAGTTCGGTTGTGGGCACTGAACCGCGACCCCACGACCCGCGACTTTTGATGACTCACCCTTCCTGACCGTCTTCAAGGATATGACTCCTGTGACTAATTCTTCGGAAAAAACCTCCATTGTCCGAATGTAGACCATTGTAACGCAATGCTTTTTTTGAAACTTATTAAGCGTTCCGCGTCAAAAGTGACGTTTACGACGCTCCTAAAATTTAGGAACTCGACGACTTATGGCAGCTTTAGTGTACGGAGTAAAGTTTTTAACACTTTGAAGTAAACGTCACCTAATCTTTAGTGCGTGTAAGTAATAAAATGCAGGTGTGCTCTGTAGTCGTTAAAAAGGATTAAAATTCTCGCGGCGCCATTACGCAATGGTTTAAAAGTATTACCTTGTGTGTGTATTAAGTGTCAGTAAGAGTCTGGCACTTCCTTCATGCCCTCGCGCCGCAACCTGGACGATCGAAGTCATTTGATAATTTTCCCCTCCCAAAAAGACCAAAAATCCTTATGAAATCGTATTCAGAAATTGCTTAAAAACCGCTTACTTATCCGGCGAAGAAAATGATGCTATTAACGAAAGCAGTTAGAAGACGCATATCAGTATATCTAGAAGCGCGGTTAATCTCATCATCAAAACAGCGAGGGTCTTAGCCGCGACGTGTGGGAAACCCAGCCGAGCTTGACCGCCGAGCCATGCTCCGGGTAACGATCTAATTACAACACTTGACAGGTGGACGGTCAAAGGTTGCACACACACAGGATCTTGGAATAAAAGACTGCACTGCAATAAGGAAATAAAGCTATATTTATCAATAGGAAGTCTTCGAGGATGTGATTTGAAAAGGACATGGGCGGAATATGTAATTTTATTGTTTTATGGACGGGCTGGGAGTTTGCTTAACTGCCTACCAGTTTGTCATGTGAAATTACCACAAATTGTGATATTATTAGAAAAGAGATCTAATTACTGACAGTTTCAGGCACTTCACATTTCCTATCATCAAATATCTATGCGCATCTCGCTCTTTGTTTTGTTTGACTTTATGCAATGCATACCAAACATAATAATATGTTAAGCATATTTCCCAAACGTATCTGCGGGTAACACGAACGAAATTTTTTTGCTATAAGACGGCATACAAACAGACTATCTGATGGTAATTAATCAGCGTCGCTCATGGATTTCTGCAACTTCAGAGTTGCAGAGATTTAGGGAGAAAATGAAAGAAATTGTCAGACTTTTAGGGATTTAAGGGATAGGTGCAGGATTGGGCTTGTATTGCCAGCTTTTTTACATTACAAGCAAACGATGTATCAACAGTTTTCCATATAAACTTGGTTTAAAAAGCCAATTGCTAGTGAGCAACCTTGATTCAATAAATAAGATGTTCAATCCTTTGTTCTGTAGGTACGCAGCTAAATGGTTCAGTGGCAATTTATTTCCAATACACTCAATTTAAAATTGAAAGTCTCGTGAAACAATTGTACCAATTTATGGTAGTGGAATAACTGTGGGACCGCGGTTAATTCAAGATTCCCGCTTGTTCTGAAAATCATTACATTATTGTGGTTAGTTTGTGTATGCCTACAAACATTTTCTTCATCTAGATCTAGATAAATGAAGCTTCTCCGTATCTTGATCTCAGATCTCAGTTGCAGATGAGGATCTTAAATCTAGGTATCTAGCGGGTTTGTTTATGATATTTTCAATTGGAGAACAATTGCAGAATTCGTTCTTAAAAATAAAATATTTAAAGGCATCCTTATATTATATATCCTTATATATCCTTATATTACCATGTGTGCAAAAACTTTTTTATTCAGAGTCAAACTGTAAAGAGTTCCTAACCTAACCTTAATCGCGATGAAGGTGCTAACGTGGACCTAACCTTATAGATCTAAATTGACAAAGCCTGTTTACCTGGCAGACTTAGTATTTCCAGATGTTTCTTGTGATTGAACTTCGTCGCCATCATATCGGTAACAGTTTCCTAATACGTAACCTTACGTAGTATCGGACTCCCACGGGTAGGCGCCTGCGCACCCAGCCACGCGCTGAATACGATGCGTGATCGCCGTGAGAAATTATACGCCAGTCGCGGTTCGAAGATTTCTTATATTATTGCTTCATATAAAAAAGAGCATTATGGTAAACGCTGTGACGGCCATAAACTATAAGATGTCGACATTAATTAGAAACTTGCGCATGTGCTTTTATAAGGGCTTTGTTGGTTTCTGATTACGGGCATTAGAATATTTACTTAGTTGCTTTATTAGTCCAATTAACATCGTGTTGGCCGTCAACAGACTCCTACATTTTGATTTCATCATTATCGATCATCAATCCTCCCACATCGAGCTTGTTATTGTTTTATAACCCTTCTCCTCAGAAAAACTATGTTAATAAAAATTCATTTATGGTGTTGACCAATATTCAACTTAAGGAAATGGAAGATTTATACTAATTCTTATTGACTGATCATTTCCCAGTAGCCACAACAAAAATATGAGTATTCCTAGACGGATAATTATAACTCCATAATAAACCTCATTCAGTTTAAGCACTCCAAAATCCTGTATAATGATTAAATTCTATGAAGCTGTAATAAATGTATATTAAAATCTTCAATTTGAATTGAGTACAATTGGTGAATACAATAGTACCGTAACTTTAAATAAAATAATCATTTAAGCATAGGATGATAATAAAATGTAAATTAGCTAATTCACTGGCTATCAATTGGACGTTAACCTGTTCTCGCTTGACTATAAAACTTAAGATTGGAAACTATAAACGTGGTTGAAGTTCGGATAGCCGTTTGGAAACCTTGGCTTAAGTGGCCATATAAAATAGTATTCGATATCTATTTAAACACGACCCACTCTGGACAGGGTTTCTAAGTCGGTTAAGAGTTTTGAAATTTGGAAAACATCCATAAGTCACAGAGATAACTGGTCGTGGGTTTAGATTACACTTCGTCAAGTCTGTGCGATATTGTAGAGGGTCCAGTTTTGTATGGTTCTGTGCTCATCTCTCATGTAAATTGATGGCATAGTGATACGAGGAAGTTCATGTTGACACAATTTCAGCTATTTCTTCTTCTCGTTTACATGTTATGATTAATTTTGTGTAATTTTGGGGCTAACTTTTAAAAAACTGCGCCTACGCAAATATTTTAAAATTGTCCTCACAACATTAATTGTTTCCACTTTCCCGTTGATTGGATCATCAAGGGATTTATTTAATTGTGCTATTGTCTTCGTGAGACAAGAAAATTGGTGAAATTATTTAAATGTTACAAGAAATCGATGCCCAATTTACTAATGAAAAATATTTTAATATGTCCTCAATATAATCCAATAATAAGTTTATTATCATTTTTTTATGTTGAAAGTAAATAATTCGGTTTGAGGTTTGAAGTTTACCTACCTACATAGAGCCAAACCTTAATATTCGTCAACAAAGCAATTTGTATCTTCAGTATCTTAGTAATCCTGTCTCATAAACGATTGTTCCCCTGCCATTTAACACGTAATCTAGATCCTTATCTTCAAAGAGTTGTTTCGTCAAACAGAATTCGCTACAGACTCAAGTTAGCAGTTCGTTACACTCATCAGAGTACCTTCTTAACTACATCAAGTGTTGCGAGGTTTTGTGAATGGTAGTATCGTGGGAATCGCGTGCAATTTCAACCGTAGTAGCACCCGCATGTATCACACACAACCTAACACTATTACTTGAGGTTTCTTGAAAGTTTACTAATCTGGGAATATTCACTTGATAGCAGAACAATGGGGAAGGCGAAGACAGTTTATAACATCAGTGTATTTGTTATAATCTATTGTTTTAGCATCATGTTCCAATCTACAACATATATATATGTCGAACATATCGATACTTCTACGTCAGTCTTGCACTGTAGAAATACGATAGGCAATTTACAATGATTGTCCATGCGCCTACTCAAAGTAGTAACTCAACGCTCTGTTGTACAAATCATTGCTCTTTCGTTTATGCTAGGCGCTTAGTTAATGCGCATGCGCACGTTCATGAGTAACTTTACATCTGTTAGTCATATTTATCACTGAATGAAGTAGGTATTTAGTTTGATTAAAATTAGATAATAGTTTTTTTATGTTAATTGTATATTGTTCATTTTCGTGTCTTACTAATTAATGACATATTGATAGGTCTTAAAGGTTGCTTTTTAGTAATAATTATAGGTTGTAATATTAGTATATTTCAGAATACATGAAACAATATCTGTACAAACGTATGTGTTGCTATATTTGGACGTTTCGTTAACGGTAAACCGTAAACATCTTTTTGAGCGAAGTGGTCATTTCCTCTTAGCACAAAACTCGTTTCGTCTTACTACGACCTACTACAAAATCAACAGTATGTGGACTACAAAGCTGTTGCAAGACATTTTGAGACTTCTGCCATCGCAATACAAGTCATTTTCCAAAGTTTGAAAAGAAGCTCTATGTAAAGGAAAGAGACAGGTATAAGTTTGTGTAGTACTACTAAAGTTTGAGAACCGGTTAGGGGTGTTGTCATTTTACTATTTTATGGATATTAATAAACGTACGTACGTATGTATGTATGTGTATGTGTAGGTAATCTTGCATTAATCGAAAAACTAGTTTTAAGTTACTACGAAATGAAGATAGTGTAAGAAATCTCCAATGAGACGTTACTATCCTACTAAGTAACAAAAGTTTTTGAAATAAGTACTTTAGCAATGATTTACAGCGGAATAAATTATGGTTTCCTTATTAATATATTTTCGGATTTGCATCCACTGTTTCTCATCAAGGCTCGCCAGTTAGCACGTGGATAATTTTGAAAAACTTATAACATAATTTTGAGAAATTAAAAGTCCCGGTAGTAATCTACAAAACATTATAAACACCATTAATATATCACAAAAGCTATAAAATCCGCCATAACGAAAAAAAAACCGTCGAGCTAATTACAAAGAAGCTCTCAAAGGATTAGATTGTAATCTCCAATTTTAAAATAACCCTCCCAAGCTTCCATTTTCTATCAAATCGATTGTGTTGTTCTTAAATAAGATTTAGATTGGTTTTTGTTGAAAGGGTTCGGGGAAGTGTAAA